TGGGTTCTTCTGAACAGAGGTTCCTGGGGTGACTGAAAATAATGAACAGGGCTTCTGCCCTCTCACAGCTCACTGGAGCTCCCCCAATGGTAGAGGGTCTCTAGGTAGAACTCCTCTGGAACTGTGCATCTTGCTGGGGCACTCCCCTGATGGCACCAGGAAGCTTCACTGGGCTGGGTGGGGCTTGGCTCCTACAGGACCTGTGTGCCTTGCTGAGACTTACCTGTGAAGGCTGGTGCTAGGCTGGGCAGATCTTGGCTCCTCCAGGACATGCTCAGCTGGCCGGAGTGCTCTCCCAATACATGGAAGTGAGACACTGGGCTGCACTAGGCTAGGAAGGGCTTGGCTCCTCTGGAACCCATGTAGTAGGCTATGATACTCCCTTGACTGATGACACTAGGGCACAGGGCTGGGCTGGCGCAAGAAATGGACTATTGAAGCACAGAGAATCATGGCAAATCTTAAAATGTTTATATAGAATGAAAGAAGCCAAACAAAAAATAACTGCATGCTATATAAGAAAGATAGATGTGAGAAAGTCTAGGCATGAGGGACAAAAAGAATCAAGAAGAAATGGGAATTAATGGGTCTATGTCTTATGACCACATCAAAAGTAATGGGCAACATTATTTTGACTGTGATCAGAGTTTCCATAGATGCTTCCATGCTTAAAACTTAGGGAACTATAAACTTTAAATCTGTATAGTCCATTAATGCTAATAATACCATAATAAAGAACCATGTCTTGCATATTTTGTTCATAATTTATTGTTTTCCTTTTAAATGTGATAATTGATCAACACTTACTTTAAACTCTGCTATTCTTTCTTACTCCTGACCTAGTCTGTTGATGAGGCTCTCAATTGAGAGTATGCCTTCTTGAGCTTTTCATCTCCAACATTTCTGCTTGTTTTATTTTTCAGAATCCCTTAAGTCTTAATCAAATTGGTCATTAATAGCCATTTGTATATTCTTTCTTAATTCATTCAGCTGTTTATTTGTATCCTCTTGGAATTTATAGATCATTTTTTACATCATTCTTATAGCATTTCATCCACTTTGGTATATGTGAACCAGCTACTAGAGAGCTTATGAACTTTTACCAGGAGTTATATTATCTTATTTTTTCATATTTTTTATATCTCTGTGTTGAGAATTGTGCATATATCAGGATGATTATTGCTTTCACTTTAAGTGAAGGCATCTTTAAGGAACTGCTTTCTCTTGACAGTATGCCCTGAGCTATCAGTGTATTGTGTAGTGTTGGATTTATTTTCAAGTAAACTTTATAGTATAGTTTCCCTATGGCTTCTTTGCCTGTACTGGTGGGTTCTGACACAGTTTGCAAACTTTCTTGGTAGGTCTTTCAAGAGTGAAGTCCCTGAGGTACATGAGGCTGGTATGTTGGAGACAACAAAGTATATGGGGGTACCCTTTGTAGTTACTTCTCTAGTCTTGCCTAAAATGTGCTATCTGCAAAGATACTGGAACAGCGTATGATGAGGACCACTACAGGTGTCATGTCCACAGTAACTATGTCATTTTTCTCTTCTGTTGTTATGGGGGTGAAGGCTCAGTGAATGTTTGGTGCCCTACCACTGACTGTGTGTGAAGGCTTATTTCCCTTGTTCTTTAAAAAAATGTACTCACCAAAGTTTGAGAAAGGCTAGGTCATGATTGGAGTAAGAAGAAACTCTCTCAATAGAACTGTATGTGTAGCTCAGCAGCAAAACACCTACCCAACATGCTTGAGATGCTAGACTTGATCCCAAATACCACTGAGAAAAAAGAAAACAAACAACACTAACAACCATAGCAATAGAAAAAATACATTCCCATGCACAATAACAATTTATTGAAGACCATCAACACCACAAAATTAAAAACAAAACAGAGCAAAAATTTCATTGAAGAAACCAAAAAGTTAAAATGAATAAAAGTAAAATTAATATAAAAGGAGAAATTAGGCAATGGGAGAAAAGAGAAGATTGTATCAAGACACAATTTTTACAAGTAAATGTAGGGAAAAGATAATGAGAAACAAAACACAAAAACAATAAAAGATAGACTAGGGAGAAGAAAAAGAAAAAGGAAGGGGAGAAAGCAATTCCTCCTCACTGAGGTGCTGGGGTTAGAGATACTTCGAGTTATGGCTGGTGTTTAGACATTTCCAACTAAGCCTCTTGCAGTAATTGGTGGGATTTTTTCATAGGTGGCTAGCTCTAGAGTATGTGATACTGGGATTGAGTCATGGTACAATGTAGGGTCAAGGATGGATTAAGGGTGGAGTACCTGCCCCTCAGTATCCTAGATAAGACTAAGGAATAGAAACAGTTGGGTTGTCTCTTGTTGCTTTGCTACCTTCTGCCCAGCAGGAACTGTTTCTGCTCTGCTGTTCCACCCTGCTTCGGAGCCACCTAATGATAAGACTGAAACCTCTACAAACTGTGCACTTTATAAACCTTCTTCCCTTTGACTTTGGGTATCAGGTATTTTGTCTCAGCAATGAGAGAAAAGTAACAAAGACATTTCTTTATGGGCTTGTGCAGCCTACTCCAAAGGCTCTCAGTCTGCATGTCAGATAGCATTGTCAAAGTTTGGGTGGCTGTAAGTCTTCGCTGATACTTTGGTACTAGGTGGGCTATGATTGATGGTTATATATTCAGTCCAACAGACTCCAGGTGGTGGACTTGTGGGTGTGGCAAATGTTCAAAACAGGGAACATACCAAAGATGCCACAGAGTGTATGTGGAAAGCTGTCAAGTCACAAAGTTCAAGGGGGCCAGGAGGGCACAGCTATTTGCCCTCATTGTTCTCACACCCAACTCTCTCACAATGCCACACACAACTGGTCTTGCTCTTTGTCATAGAGGGTAGGACAAGTTTCTGTACTATGCTCTGTCACAGACTGTGATTCATGTGGTCCATACATCTCAGTAGGCTAGTGTTAGCCCAATCACAACTGTGTAGCTTGACCTTTTCCACCCAGTCAATGTGTTAGGGATCCCCAGGGATGCTGAGTTCTGATTGATTTGAGGATTCTACTCTCCAGAGCAATTGGGCCCCTAAGAATTGGACACTTCTAAAACTGGCTTCTGGTTATTGATCGAATTTTCAGCGTGGCTAAAAAGATAGAAATATGAAATAAAAGTTGTGTTTATTTTAAGAATGTGGAGAGAGAACCCCACGACCACTGAGGTCTGGCTTTTCTCTCTGCCAGACACGTGATACGGGGGCATACATATAGCTTAGGTTTGGGGTGGTGCCTAAGGGGCATTACTGATGCACAGGTAGCCCATTGGAATTCATTTCACACCACGGGCAAATTGCCTAGGGGCAGGAATGTGACCTCAGGATAGAGCCCCTTGGATCCACCTCCCAGCCTCCCACCACTGCAGCATCCCATTCAGGGCAAAATCCTTTCAGTTATACCACTCAGAGTTTGCTGAGTTGATAAAATGGATTTCTTCTCTAAAGCTAGCTTGTCATACAGGAAAAGTCACTTTCAGACAAATTGTAAACTGGATGTAAAATTAGTAAGAAAAAAATTCCCCCTTTGAGACAGCATATCTACAGCCCTTAGTGGATTTGATTTTACTCCCCAGCTTGCATTATGTTTGCAGGTTCCAGTTTTGTTTTCCCTTCCAGATGGCTTTTGAAACTGGATTTTTTTCTGCTTTGCCTTTCTAATTCTCTGTGCTGTCTAAAATTCCAGTCACTTCTTTACTGGTTCCCAGTTTTTACTCAGTGTCTCTTGTTCGAATAGTTTTTCTCTTGTTACCCTGATTCTTTTTGACTGCTGTCATGTGAAGGATATTTTCTGAAAGATTTTCAGAAAATCTTGTTTTTTGCAAATAATTCTATATAAAACAACATAGAATCTATCTCCAGATGGCTAACAGTAGAGATTTTTCCCTATTTCCTTTGTTAGAAAGATATACAAAGGAACTGATTACCTAAATCAATCATAGAATGAGCCAGGTACGAGGTAAAATCTTAATCTTGGACTAATTCTACATTATTTACGCCATAATGCTCAGATACAAGCCTGGTAGGCTTTCAACTGAGTTTTCATGGTGCTGTTTCCACAGGCTTGATAAATTATCCCTACCATCTAAAGACTCACAGTCTAGCTCTGTAGACTCTCACTGAAAGCAAATTTAAAAACAAGTGCCCTAACAATTGTGTATATACTTGGACAAATCTTTACTTGCTATGTCTTGTGTGCAACATATAACATGATTTTAGGAAAGCATGCTTTTTAGAAATTTTAGATCTTTTACCCATCTCCCACAAAGCCCTTAAATCTGGAAAGTGTGACTTTGAGAAAAAAAAAAAGGAATTGAAACCCCCAAATGTCTAATTTGTAATCTACCGCTACGTAGTAATGAAGAAGATGGGGGGAGTGGTTTCTGTCTCTCCGTAGAGGTTCTGTTAATGCTGCCAAACCTCATTCTCAACTCATATCTATCATCAGCAAGTGCACTAGCGGAAACACTGCCTATCAGCATTCAAATCATTTCATAATTGTTTTCTATGTTTGACATTGTGGGAGGGTAAAAGACGTGGAGTTCAGGATTACAAGAGTAAGATGTTTGGTAATTGTACTGTATCTCTGCGGCAGACATATAAGAATTTATAGACTGAAAACTCCTTCTACTGTCAAAGTAAAAGGTGTTAAGGAAATGACACTGATATGAACTTCAACCAAATATTCTCAGATTTCCATTTTTCTTCTTGCTCCTCTGTGAGCACAAACTACTGACAACTAGTACGCAAGAAATGCAATTTGTGAGCTCCCTCTCTTCTGGTGAGCTATAGTTTAAAAAAGGAAAATGTTTGGAATTTAGAAACACAATTAAAATACAATCACACACACACAGAGACACACACTCACTCACTCACATATACATGCTCTATGAGCTAGCTTTTGTTCAGAAAACTAGACTAAGTCCATGAAAACAAATCAATTAAATGCTTAAAATAATGGAAACTGGGAATATGGTAGGAATAGCCTTTATTTAATGGTGAATGCTTGTGATCCTGGAACATAATAGATCTCCATAACTTTCTGTTAGTATTTGACATACATACCATAACATTTCTACAGCCAGGAGAATACATGGGCAATTCCTTGAAAATTTGGGACTATTGTTTGAAATTGTAAAGTTTTGCTCTTCTATTTCAGGTAAAGTTTTACCCACTGAGACCACCTGCCTGAACTGAAGTTTAATTCTTACATTTTTTTTCTTGGGTGAGATCTAAGCATCATGCTACTATTGAGGTGGAGGAGGTGGAACAGATGCATCAGGTGGAGGAGCTGAAGGTTGTTCTGTAATAATAGTTTCTGGGATTTCCATTGGTTTTTTCTTCCATAAGAAGTATAACAAGATGAGAAGCAAAAGAAGCAAAAGAAGTAAGAAAAATAGATAGATAGAAGTGGGAGAAGTGGGAGAAGGAACAGGAGGAGGGGAAGTGGAAGGAGGGAGAGGAGGAGGGGTAGTAGTGGGAAGTGGAATAGGAGGGGGACCACTATCAACACTCCCTCCATAGCCTTCTGTGGTACAGTTAGGTGGCCCCCATCCAAAATCACAGTGGCAATGATTTCTATTGTTGCAGATCCCTGACATATTGCAGGCCTCACGTGAACAAACACTACTCCAAAGTGGCATTGTGACACACTTCCTGTGGATGCACATATTTCTCTCACCACACTGTGTGCCATCTTTCACATCACCAATATCAGGCACAGGGATCCCAAAGTGATAGTCAGTGCCCCAGCAGATACTACCTCTGATTTGAGAACAATGTACAGTGGTATGTTCAGACAAAGAGGGGATTTCTGTCACATTCTCACACTGAATTCTTCCACAGAGGATGTCCTTGTTCTGACATCTTATATACGATTGACTGTTGTTACCACAGTTACCAAAACGATTGCCTTGGGTGTTCATTTCCATGTAGCAAGTCTCGTTTGCACTTCTGGCTTTGCTTCCAAAAATTTGCCTACACTGTTCATCACGGCTGAAGTTGACACATTTGTTTTCATAGCAGTGCCCACTCTCTGCACAAGACATTCCATCCAGTACATACACATCTTGTGGACATTCATGTGAAGTTCCATTGCACCACTCAGGAAGATCACATTCACCCTTCTTTTCTCGACACAGAGTGCCTGGTGGCCTAAAATTGCAGCTTTGGCAACAAAGCCCAAAGGCACATTCAGCTGAAGATTTTAGAGTGCAATTTGTCGTACAGCATGAATCATTTCCACAAGATGCTAAAGGTCCACAGTCACATTCTTCTCCTTCTTCCACGACGTTATTCCCACAGGACACCACTGGAAGTAAATTCGCTGGTTTTAGCTTATTTCTCAGACAGCTCTTTGTTATACCGGCTGTCCACATATAGGAATAACTGCAATTGCTGAATTTGGTAGACGAATTTTCCTGTGCAGCCATGATGCATTTTGACTGCCCACACCTACATGGTCCGACTTGTTCATCATGATGCATACCCAAATTATGTCCTATCTCATGGGCCACAGTATGTGAAGTCGCTGACACAGACCTTGAAAGGACTCTATCAACTCCACAACCATAATGATGACTACATACACTCCCCACAAAAGCTAAACCAAGATACCCACGAGCATAAAATTGGTGTGAAAGGAGATGTGCTAGATCATTACGTATACGGTGATTCAAGTCGCTAACCCTCCAATTGCAAAAGTGAGTCAGGACCGAGGGCATGTCATCACTTATTGTCACAAGGTCTTGATTATCCCAGATTTCAAGTCCAACTATTATCAGGTCAATACTCAGTGCATTTAAGTAACTATTTACCACATTAACAACTTCTATAACTTCTTTTATCACACGTGTATTATTATTTTGTCGAAAAACATATCGTTGATGGTCTACCACAAATACCATATCAAGTTTCCATGAGTGGATCCACCAGTCCAGATACCCACTTTGCTCCAGAATGGGAATATCAATCTCTTGAAGTGTCAACTGTTGTGCTACTTCTCTGTCTGATAATCCACATTTCAGTACTGGGGATTGGTTTTCCTCAGTGGCCATTTTATAAACCAGGTGTTCAAACGTGACAGAATGTTTTTTGGGCTTGATTTCATAAGCAATGTCTTTTATCTGTAGTGTTCCATCAAATCCCCCAGAACAGGTGCTAAGAACAACCAGGGATCTTGGATCACCTTCCACATACCCGTGATAGTAGCAGTCATCTGGAACAAAAGGGCGGTCCTCAAGAAGAACACCTTGGTCAGTGTAGGTGAACACAGGGAGGTGTCTGGACACCAAAAGCTTCTTGGTCTTCATGTGAACAATGTGTCTCTGGCTCCCAAAATGAAGACTGTAGGACACCCAGCCTGGAGGACTCATGCCTCTAAGAGTGCCAGTGATCCTCAAAGGAATCACCACTTCTGGGGGGCCAGAGTATTGGGAGTGTCCAGTCTGGGGCTGTCCAGAAAGGAAAAGAAATATGCTCAGCCAGAGCATGGGAGTGATCCTCACATGCATCAGGGCCTTGCCCACAGCCATCATGAGTTAGAGTAAGAGCAAAGTTGGGGTGGGCAGAAGCCCCCTTCTCCTTTGACTCATTTGCATGTAGCACTGACATTCGTGATCTGTCATTTATCAGAGTCAATTCATCAGATCAGCAAAACTGAAAGAAAAATACATACATACATACATAAATACATAAATACAAGGTCAGAGACAGAATGTCTCTGTTATTGTCTTTGTTATTAGCAGACAAGAATGGAGAAGAGAGACCAAGAGACCAGAATATGAGTTAAAATGGGTTAGACTTTGGCTCAAGATATGACTCCATATAGCGCACTAGATTTGCTCTTTAGTACTGGTAGAGGCATGGTAGACCATGCAGATATATGATAACTGGCTGTAGGTCAAAGCTACTAAATCTAGATGAGCACATGGTTCCTTGTACTGCTTTTTAGTGTGCTTGTGTGAATATTTCCACAATAGATACCTAAAATAGAAAATGAGCATGTGTGTTGATTTGAAATGGTGGTTCTGTATCTTGATTTGATAAGGGAATCTTGATTTACATACACCCTTTAAAAATAAATATCAATTATTCTTCCTATTTCAAGTGATAAATCATTTAGTCACATTACTCCAGAGAGATGTGTAAGAAATCACATGTACTATTTTTTTCATGGTCTTTAATATGTACTTCTGTTCAATGAATCATTACTGTCCTATATCCCTCCAATCTTGTCAAACTGTTAGTGCATCAACTGTCCTTTAAAAATATTAAATTCTATAATGGATGTCTCTGTTCAGTAAAATGGTAAACAATGGTAGAATTACATGAAGTAACTTGGGTTGACCGGTGGATGTTACTCATAGGTATTTATATTTTATTATACTTGTATGAAAATAACATTATATTGGGTGCTATGGCTATCCCTGTAATCCCAGCCACTCTGGAGAATAAGGCAGAAGTTTTGGGAGACTGAAGCCATTCTGGGTAACTTAGAGATATCCTGTCTTAAAACGAAGTAAAAGGGGCTGGAAACATAGCTCAGTGACAGAATGCTTGTTTAACCTAAGCCAGGCCCTGGATTCAGTCTCCAGGACTGCAAATATAAATAAATGAATAAATAAATAAGTAAGTATACTTCAAAGTCTTTGGTCACATAAAATGAACAGGAAATCAAATTAGCTGAACAATGACCGTTAAAAATGGGAGAATTCTGAAGGAAAACTAAAATACATTCAGTAATGAAAAGGAAATCAATGAATCTTAAAAGGAGGAGGGATAATATTAAGAAGATATTGTACTTGGTTCACAGGCATAAAAGTCTCCAACATTTTATGATTGTAAGGCATGAGCTCCTAAAATAAACCTTCAAATGGGTTTATCTATAAAATAAAAATATGTAAATATATATCTAATATGAAAGTACAAATATAAGATGTCATCTTAAAGTAGTACAATATTTTTGAAAACGAGAAGTCTGGTGCCAGCATGGTGCCAAACTTACAATAGTGATTTGCTGCTTTGTCCTTGAGTAAAATGTTAGTGGAAACTGCATAATGTGTGAATACCAGGGAAATATACATGGAAAATATAGGCCTAAATAAGTTAATGATCAAAAACATTTTGGGGGTGAAAACATACTGTGGAGAATCTGTAAAACTGCATATAAATTTCACATAAAAATGCCTAGCTTTTATTAATCTGGTGTATCTCAAGTGTTAACAAAATCATTAAAATAATCAGATCACTCGAGCAATGAGATCAAGCCCTGTTAGAATAGTTGAGCTGGGGAGCAACAGAGGAAAAAAAATCTATTATGGGAGACCTAAAACATGTTAAACCAATCCACTTGTAGGGATTACAAAACTGAAAGATGCCAGACTCAGCACCTATCACCCACCATCTCCTAGACCTGGTGTCCACTTCTCCTTAAGTTTTATTTTTATTTTTATTTTATGTTTTTTGACTCCTCTCTAAAAGTATTTTCCTATCACTTGTGAGATCTTCCTTTTATAGAAAATAATAACAATCTCTTCTCTGGTAACATTTCTTTATGGAAAACTCCGATTTCCTACTTAATTTTATGAAAGCTTGTATCTCAACAATGTGAAGCCCAAGAGAAGAGGCATTTTCCATTCACCGAAGTTTCATCTTTGGGATATTTGATCATGATTTTTTTTGCCTCCCAAAGTTACTCTGAAACTACTAAAATAGCAGCCACCTTACTAGATCATTATTTACTTTCCTCCTTCTTTTCAAACTCTCAATTCACCTTGCACGAACTGCAAAGAATAGGGTGTCTACTGCCTTCTCCTCCACCATTAATTTTATCCATACTCCCACTGTATTTGGCAAGCATGTGGACAATCTATATAGCATCTGTTGTTTGGTTTTCAATGTTGTTATTCATCTTCAATGATCATCAGCCATTAAACTTTAGCCATGTTCTATATCATATTTTCAACCTTCACAACTCATATATGAACATGTTAGTCTACCACAATTTTTATTTATCATTAAAATCTTTCTTTAAATTCATAGAAAAGTTACAAAACTCTTCTATGTTTTCCCACTTTCTATTTTCCAACACTGTGCCTGCCATCCCTACAGCCCAGCTCTAGATCCCATCAGTTCAATCATTGTGGGCCCAAATGCTCCATCCAATTTAGATTAATGCTTTTGTGTGTTTCTGGTCCTCCCCTAATACTATGGGGAAAATTGGAGCACACAGAAAAGGATAAGACAGATTTTCATCACAAACATTCATGCTTTTAATAATTTTTTTGTCTTTTTTTTTTTTTCATTTTTATCAGTACCGGGGATCGAACTCACAACTGCCTGCTTGCAAGGCAGGTACTTATGCCGCTGAGCTAAATCCCCAGCTCCTCATGCTTTTAATAATTTGTGTCCTATAGTCTATATTGTTTTTTGGCTGGCTTGCTTACCTTTCTTTCTTTCTTTTTTTCTTTCCTTCCTTCCTTCTTTCTTTTTTTTTTCAGACAGGATTGCACTATGTAGTTTAGACTAAGCTCAAACTCACTATGTAACCCAGGCTGGCATCAAACTTGCAGTGATCCACCTGCCTCAGGCTGACACTACAGGCATGCACTACTATGCCCAGCTTGGCCCACAACATTTCTTAATTTTTTCATTTTCTAAATTTCCTCATCAGTATATAACCCCCTCAACTGAAAAGGAACATTGTCATTCACAAGTTGTTCTTAGTATCAAATTTCAATAATGATAGCTTAATTAGTAAAATGAAGAAATTTTCACTGAATGATTGTTTAATACAGGATCTGATAGTTTTCTTAGTTTTGGGGTTTGTCATTGTACACAGTGGCATGGAGCTCATTTCAAACTCAACATTATCGCCACTGTTATAGTAACAAGAGTACCTTGATTGCTTAGGTCAAATATTTAAGACAAATAATGAAGAGGCTTACTTCACAAAATGTCAAGAGTCCACATAAGAACTTGAGCAAGATAACTAAAAGCAAACTCCGAGGACAATACTTCTGAGTTGTTGGTAAAATTTTATTTGCTCGCCCTGTATACCTTGATGTATATGTGGTAATTATCATGAAGTGTGAGTTTTTGTTGTGATGGAAAAGGATTGTTGACTAATGAGGTAGCACTGTTGAGAGTAAATTTTTTCATTTTCTATGATTTTGAACATTTTATACCTTGAGTGATACTTTACTTGTGATTTGTTTGCCATTGTTTTTGAAATTCTTTCAGGTTGATGTTGTCTTTCATTTGTTTCCAATGTTACATGCTGTTTCATTGCAATATACACACAACTATTTATTTTTCCATTCTACTGTTTCTGGATTTTTTTTTTGTTTATGACAAAACAGTGTTGCTATGGACATTTATTTACTTATATACAGATTTATCTTATTTTTCAAGCTTTGGGTTGCCTGTTAAGAGTAAATTTAACAATAAAAATCATCAAAATTTATTCCTAATACCTCATCTTATAAGCAAGTAATGGGAAAACAAATTTGAAAAAATAATTGAGCATGACTGTCTTATACCATGTTCCAAAGATCACAGCACCTGAAAGAATATATTTTCATTCAAAAAGTGGTAGAGTGCCACAATAGCACAGAGACCTCAAAGTTGAATGTTACAGATCCTCTTTTGTAAATTTTCCTTTTCCCACAACTTCATCAAGTTTGTTCATCATGTAGCCTAATTAACAGCTGATCCTCACTCCCATTTATAATCTAATTCATTTTTTCAAACAGTGAATAACAACACATTAAAAACAGCTTAGAGGTTTCTAGCCAAATAAATAGACCAGAATACGAAATAAAAAAGGACATCATTCCTCCCAAGGTCTGAATACTTGGGAAAGAATTACAGGGAGTGTTTGTGTGTGCGTGTGTGCGTGTGTGTGTGTGTGTGTGTGTGTGTGTGTACACATTCACATATGCAAAGATGCAATCCTTCTCTCTCCCTTAGACCTACACTCTCGAGTGACTTATAATAGATAAAGCATAGATTACCACGATCCTTTTTAATGATAGTCCTCTTCATGAATTACTTGGGACACCGCCTGATGAACAAAGATTTTGAGATGAGATTTTACATGACAAAGAGAAATAGAATATTGAATCTCATTTGTTTGAGTTCTAGATTAGTTGCCTAACAACAAGAGCCTCACAGTCTACATACAGCAACCAGGTAGGATTCCTTTCCTTATTCCTGTTCTGTTTCCTTATATACTGTATGAGCATTTTACTTCTGTATTTTTGCTCATCTGCTATCCTGCTCCCAGTTTATGTCTTCAATATCAATATCAATATTATGAAATACTTAAAGTACTTCAATTTCCAGAAAAAAACTTAAAAATCCTTTAAAACAGTTTCTAAATAATCCCAGACATTACTAACCATCTATATCTTTTTTGTAAAATCAGTGAATGACTCAGAAACATTTTAGATCTGCCTGTAAATGTACTTCATCCAAATGTAAAATTGTTACCTATAAGACAAAGAAAAACCTGAGATAGATAAGTTAAAAATAACACATAAAAATTTTTCATAGGTAAACTGAGAAGGTGGTTGTTTAAAGAAATGCCAATCTGAGAACTTGCATTTAGCAAGTTGGTTGAGGAAATAAATGTAGTTGTTTAATATCCTCAAAACTTAGCTGTAGGGTAGAGAGGCGGTTGGCAACACTCAAGTCTGTATCAGTCACCATTTTCCATTGCCCCTCCACATTAGTGAGACACATTAGAGCTCTGAACTCTTTCCCTCATCAAACTTTACTTTTTCCTAGATTTCATTACAATTTGCTCTTAAGGGACAAGATTTAACCTGATGGTTTTAATCTCTATATTTGTTTGCTAGGGCTATCATCATAAAATAACACAAATGACTTAACAGAAATATAACATCAGACTGTTTTGGAGGATAGAAGCCCAATATCATGGTATAATCAGGACTATATTTCCTCTGAATCCACTAAGAAGCAATTCATTTGAGGCTTCTTTCCAGTTTTTGGTCATTTTCTGGTTTATAGCAGCGTGATTCTAATCTTTGCCTGCTATTTTCTGTGTCCAAAACTTTCCCCTTTTGTTGGAGCACCTATTTAAATCAGACAATATAGATACAAAGTAAAAAAAATGTCACAAGCCACAAAGAAGGTCATCATATAGTGATAAAAAGGTCAATTCATCAGAAGTATATATATATATGTATATATGCACCCTGTGTCAGTGCATCTAAATAGCCAAAATAAACGTTGATAGAGCTGAAGGAAAAAATAGCAAGAAATATAATAATAGTAACATACTTCAATATTCAATTTTCAACAGTGGCTATAATATTCAGAGAGAAAGTTAGCAAGTAGAGAGCATATTTGAACAACACTACAGAATGACTGAACGCCACAGATATGTGCAGAACGTGCCCCCCACCCCTCTTTTACTCCTCTGTCTCCTTCACTCGCTCTCAGCAGCCTCCACAGTCCCTCAGTCTTCTCTCCACAGGCTGTCCTTTCATCCTTTTGCTTTAGTTTTGCTCATACTTGCTTGTTTCTACCTTCAAGAAGAAACGCCGCACTTGTCTTTCTATCTGGCTTATTTTGCTCAGAATGATGCTTTCCAGCTCCACCCATTTTTCTGAAAACAACAGAATTTCATTCACCTTTAAGAATGAATAATAGTAAATAGGCTATGTATACATCATATTTTCTTTATTCATTCATCCATTGATAGATATCTAGGCTGATTACTACAGCTTAGCTCTAATACCTCTGTAAACATAGGCAAGCAGGCTCTGACTTGTGCACGGACTTCATCGCCTTTGAATATAAACACTGTTGGATTCCTGGATGGCATGTTAGTCCTCTTTTTAGTTTTTAAAGGACTCTCCATTCTGTTTTCCATAGTGGCTCTACTACTTTACATTCTCACCAGCAGTGTATTAGTGTTCCTTTTTCTCCACACCTGCACCAGTATGTTTTTATAATAGCCATTCTAGCCGGGTGAGATGGAATCTCAATGAGTCTTCTTCTTAAATATGACATCTTAGCTGTGAATGCCTCCAAAACAGTGATCTACAGAACAATGGTTTGCAAAATGCTTAAGACTAATTTTGATAGATGTATTGATGAGTTCATTTAAAAGAAAAAAATTGTTTTAAAAAATGAAAAATTTTAAAAGAAAAGAGTCTAAGTTCAAAATAAAGTTCATATTTTCTGTATTTTAGGTTTGGCTTAGCATTGGTTTTTTTGACACTTTTTTCTCAAAGGTAATTATTGTTCTCAGAAATATGGCTCCTAAAAAGTCTGGAAATGCATCTTTATTTTTAATTTAAAAATAAATTTAAATTTAATTTAAAATTAAAAATTAAAATGAGGATCAAATTCAGGTCTTTGTGCTTGCCAAGAAGGGAGTGTGTTGCTGAGCTATATCCCTGGCCTCTGCATCTTTAGCTCATGAGAAAAAAAGCAAAATGTTCTATTTTACACCTTTCTTATTTCACCTCTTTAAGAAGAGAAAATAAACAAATTGGATGTGCTGGCACGTGCCTATAAACCCAGTATTGTGGGAGGCTGAGGCAGGAGGACTGCAAGTTTGAGCCCAGATGACAGTTCAGCAATTTGTCAAAACCCTGTATCAAAATAAAAAAAATTTTAAAAGGCTAGGCATGAAGCTCAGTGCAAAGGCTCTTGGCCCAATTAAAGAAAGAAAGAAAGAAAGAAAGAAAGAAAGAAAGAAAGAAAGAAAGAAAGAAAGAAAGTTTCCAGATCATTATACGTATTCATGAGTTGGAGAAACTTTACATTCTGTTCTAAGTTTAGCAAACTGGCATGGTCACAGGGAAACAACCTATATTATTTGCCCTATTCACTGTGTTTATGCATATATTTTTTTCACTGGGTATATTTTTAGGCATATTTGTTAATGTGAAAACATTTGAAAACATCTTAAAATCATCAATTCTTCAATAAACTTGCAAGGTTAAAAAAGAGTATATTATGATTTTGAGGCAGAGGGTTTTTTAAAAATTTTATTTAAAGAAAGACTAAACAAAACCAAAAGTAGGTAGAAATAATATATACTTTCAAAGAAAAAAATAAACAGTAAGAAATCACTACTTGATGATTATAGATTGTCCTCTTACAAATAGTTATTCAAGATACTAAAGTGGAGCATATAAAGTGGGGATTCAAACAGCGAGACTGCAAACAGTTCTGTTCAACTATCCAACAAAAACTTACTAATACGGTTATCTATCCTATACACTTAAACATATATGCAGTTATCCATATCTTAAATTATGTTGAGATTGAACAAACCCAAACAGGCTAATATCACTCTGAACAAAGAAGAATACTATTGCTGGGTGTCACATTATGACACTCCAGGATCAGCACTGGGTACTATAGTGTCTCTTTTTCTTCAAAGTATTTGTTCATTTCATCATGTGTCATTAAGATCAGTTCTCATAAATTATTTATAGGTTCTACACATGCATGAGTCTTAACATGTATTTCTATCCTTTCTAAATTAGAGGGAGAAACAAAACAAAGCAAGACAAAACAAAACATATTCCTATAAACACGTGAAATGAAAAGGGCATATAAGACCGTTGTACAAGGAGTTCTACCATAGTTCCTGTGTTGTCTCTTGTTATCTTCAATAGAATTGGCTAATCATCAGACATAGTATAATTGAATATATCAGTACCTAATAGTATTAATAAAAACACAACTTTGTATATAATATAAAACTTCAAAAACAGGCAGTAATCAAACCAGAATGTGTGTCATGTGAGTCTTGTCATCTTCAGTGTAGTTGCCTATACTCTCAGACTTGATACTATCAGTCATATTAGTTTTGAATAAAATCCGTCGATACCAAATAGCAATCAAACAAACCAAATTTAACTAAGATCAGTCATGATGAAACGGTATAAGTCATACAGGGCTCCAGATTAAGATAATAGGAAATTAAAGATGGTTACTGTGCTATATCCTGATGTGTTTGGGATAGCTGACTGTGCCCTCAAATCTAATGTAAGTAGACAAACTGGGACAGAATAAAATCTATCTAAACAGAGTGGGGTGCAAGTAATGAGGGTTTTAAATCCTGATAAACTATTAACAATATCTTCTGCCATCTTTTGTAAGACTCTCCCTCCCCTTTCACTTCCCCAGGTTACACTGTGCATTTTTGGGTCTCACCAAGACCCTTGGTTTTAATTTGGGGGGAGGGGGAAACCTGCTATTTACCTAAGTGGTTCTGAGCCTTCTCTCTCCTGGACTTGATGTCTAATTGTATTCCTTTACCTATTAAAGCCTGTCTTTCCAACCTATCCACAAATACTGGTCTAGTTGCCCCTATTAATCTCTGGTTCTCTGTCACATAGAGCATTGTTTTCTCACATTTGATTTTCATTGTTTTCACACATGATTTTTCATATTAATTATATTTACTATAAATAGCATCTCAGTGGACCCTGCCTCCTGATCTACTCCACGTGTGGTTCTCTTTTTTTTAAAATTTAATGTATCAAGGCCATCTATATTAGATATTATAACCAACCTTCTCTACCTCATTTCTGTTATGCTCTTTTTTTGCCACCAGTTGTCTGCTTGCCTTCTTCATTCTGTTTTCTGCTCCATTCATTGAGGCCTCTCTGCCACTGTTCCTGGAATCCTAGTGCTTTTCTCTCTCTCTAGAATGCCCTGCAGAATTTTCTGTAGAGTTGGATTGGTGGTCATGAATTTCCCAAGTTCCTCTTTGTCTTGGAAGCATCTTGTTTCTCCATTAATTTCTAGAGACAGATTTTCAAGGTATATCCATCTGGATTGGAGGTTTTTTTTTTTTTTTTCAGGGCTTGGAATATTTCACTCCAGGCTCTTCTTGACTTGATGGTTTATGTTGAGAAGTGTGCTGTGATTCTGATGGGCCTTTCCTTTATAGGTTATCTTTTGTTGTCTCTAGCAGCTTTTAATATTCTGTTCTTATATTGAATTTCTGGGATCTTGATTATTATATGCCTGGGTGTAGCTCCATTTTGGTTGTAGGTGGCTGGAGTTCTGTATGCCTCATACATCTGAATATCATTTCCTTTTCCTATGTTTGGGAAGTG